AATTAAGATGCATCCCTGAAACTTACCAGTCTCTCACCTATGTGCAATGCCATCTCAGCCTTATCAGAGCAGTTTTCGAACATCTGTTAGCCTCACCATTACCCTCCTTTCTGTAATCCTCCTTCTATCGAGCATTAAAAACAAAGTCAGATATCCTTTCAGGTTGTCTTATTTCCAGCTCTAAGATTAAATACTAAACTGCTGCTCTCTACAGTCCAAGCTGACAAGTAGCATTTCAGCCTTGGATTTCTATCTAAGCAGCTCTCTAAGCAAGGAATACGCTGATACAGTACGTCACCATCGGCACGGCCTCTCCGCTCACCAGCCCACACAAGTTGCCAGAGCTGAAATTCTGAACTGAGTTTCCTATTCCTATCCCGTAGGGGTTTGTTCCACATCCCGCTGGGATAGCACTGCCCCAAAACTTTCTCTGAGGAAAACCTTTTCTCCTCTTTCTCCTGACACTGATCTCTAAACTTCTAAAACTACAGATTTCTTTCTGTTTCTCTCCAGTTCTCTCTTGCAGAATGACCACTACTCCTTAGCATCTAGAACCTATGTTTTTTAGCAAATGCTGTTCACTCTCCGAAAAATCAACCTACAAGCTTTTAGCAAATGCTGTTCACTCTCTGAACAATCAACCTACAGGCTTCCCATACAGAGATTCGGACAAAAACATGTCTTTACTAAGTCTTGACTTGATCCAGGTTTGGATCCACTTCACACCATCACAACCTCTGCACTCCAAACCTTCTGTGCAGCTCTGAGCAGCGTCCAGACCCCTGTGCTCCTCCACACACCCCAGATTTCACCATCTGGATAGGGTTAATCTGTAGCTTTGGAGTTAGACAGAACAGGTGAGAGGACTAGGCTTCTCGCCCACACACATCCCACATCACGGAGCAAGAAGAACACACCTTACAGCTGTTTGTTAACTACTGAACAATGCAAGAAAACAGTTTCCACAAACACAGAAGCTGAAGTGACAGAACTACATGGGGCTCAGAGCAGCTCCCCAATTCCTTACACATTGGCAGCAGCATCCTCTGCACTGCGGGCAAAGAGCAGCCCTATTAGAGCTGAAATGCTGTTTATTCTGCAATGTGTCCTAATAATCTGAGGCTAGCAAGGAAAACACAACCCTGCTAAGCAAACAAAGAGCAACATCAATTGGAAAGAAGATTAAAAAGGAGGTAGGAAAGATACAGGCTGAAAACGTCTATGGGAAAGCTGGGAATGAACAGGGGGAAGAAAGAGGAAGAAATAATGTTTATATTTCAGAGCAAGACTGCCTTTCCCACTTAAAAGAAATGATGCTTTATACATCTGATGCGCACCTCCACAAAGCGTTTTAGAAGGGAGGCTGACCTGGTAGACAGAGATCAGGACAAACTGCAGGGTGGGCCTGCAAAAATCACAACGAAGAAATTCTGAAGCCAGAGACCTGAAGTTGAAGTTACAGCAGCAAGCAGAAAGCTCAAGCGAAGAGCTTAAGTGACTCAAAGTCATTAAAATTAAGGTTCTTCTAAAACCATTTGGTGCAGGACCTTCCAGCATGGCAGGCAAAGTCACCATGGTGTAATGACCAAGGGGAGCCCGAGCAGAACAACCCCTAGGATCAGGCCTGGAGACGTGAAATTTAATTTTTCTCCCAGAACCATCAGGAAAAAGGCAGACATGTTGGCTGCAACGACTTTTTCCACCAAGCTGATTCCCCAAGTTATTTATTCCCTCTGCTCCCCTCCAGGCCCTCTCGTCACAGCAGCTGCCCATGGCACAGGTAGGTTATAGGCAGCGTGGTGGAAGCCCAGCAGCACCACACCCCATCACTATATAGGTCACCACAGAGCCCTGTGCCACGCCAGCCAGGTCTCCTGGTTAGCTCCTATACGCCAGGAAGCTCGCAACGTCACGTGCTATGGCACCAGGCTAACACGGCGGCTTACATGATAATTAGCAATCTTCTCATGAGTTTAACTTTTAGATTAGGATGGTTTCATTGAGCAGTGTCAATTCCTGCTCTTCAGGCTGGAGCTGCCCCAGCAGCAGGATGCACGGAGCAGCGGTCGCTGCACAGGAGGGCCCAGCAGCACAGAGCAGGCTGGCCTCCTCTGAGGTGCGTGTTTACATCTCTGAAAAGTCACAGAATTGGAAGCTAGCAGCTAATCAGCTTTTGTATACTTAAGAATATCCTTAAGAGCTTTGTTGTCATATTCAGGCGCTCGGAATGTGTCCTTTAGGTCACAGAGGCTTTTTTTTTTTTTTCTTCTAACATGTCTTCCAACTGTCTTCCAAGTATTTTTAACGCTGAACTATGGGGTGGTATTTCCACAGCCACTGGCTTCAGCAAAGCCATGGAGAACAGGACCCAGAGATGGGAAGGAACCAACGGGGGGGAACTCTGTCAGCATCCCAGCAGAATCCCAATAACAACACGGGATGTTTCTGCACACCATGCCTTATTCTGTGCTCTGAAAGAGTTCTAAAATAATAATAATAACTGCATTGGAGTTTTCCTTTGCCTTTTCATTCATACGCAAACAATACCCCAGACTTCCCTCCATCAAAGCCCAGCAGGCTGTAACTGAGCAAACAAGCTGTTTGCATAAATAGGGAATGATGGGAAGGGAGAAAGTTAACGTCTGTCCTAACTAAGCTAAATCAGTGCAGTCCATTAATATAATAACTTTTCTACCAGAAAAGTGAGATCTAAAGTTCCTTCTGTGCACAAAAGACTCCTTTGTAAAAAAAAAAAAAAAAAAAAAAAAAAAGATGGTTTACCAAAATTTGCTATTTTCTCATGCAGACAAGAAACTTAAAAATAAGATACAGGTATTCATTACGCTTATGGGCACCAGCAAGCCAGACCCCAACCCAGGTGCTCAGCAACCTGCTTACCGCAGACACACAAAGAGGTCAGGATTAGGGGAACAGGGAGCTCCAGGCAGGTGCCAGCAGCCTTGTCTGAATAACACCAGGTTCCCCATGGCCAACACCACCCAGCAGGTTCTTAAGGCTTTCCAACCAAGAATATCAAAATAAGATGAAGAGGAAACAAAGGGTGGAGATACGACACACAAATTAAGGTGACACACTTGTTTATTTCTGCCTGCTTCCTTCCCAGCTACTTTTCCCCCCTCCTCCCAGCTGAGCGACCTTTACGCACCACGCCATACGCTGCAAACCAAACAACCAAGCAGCCAGATGCTCCAGGATGCTCGGGATATGGCAATCTGCAGAGCCTCAGCACAAGGTTTTAAGAAGCACTGGAAAACCTGCGAAGTTCCTGCAACTTGGGCCTCGCACCTCAGCAGAAAAAAAAAAGAAAATCACTTATAGATGTTCAGTTTGTCTTTGCTTTAAAGCCATGCTGCTCCCTGGCACCAAGGACCACCTCCAGATATGGGGCTAAGTTCTGGTGCAGCACCTGGGCAAAGCTTCTCCCACCTTGGGCTTGTGCCACCCTCATTGGCAATCCGCTCATTCCACATGTCACCAAGCCCTAATATCATCTGAACGTTAATGAGAAATACCACAGACATAAATCAAAAACTTCTCAGTGCCCAACAGTAAACAGCTCTCCAAAACAGCCCCAGCTGAGCTCTCTGCAGAGCTGGAACTCTGTGATGCTCCTGGGACCTGGACCTCCCCAGAGTCCACAGTGACCACGTTCAAAGAAGAGCGGCTACAGCACCCACCTCCCACCAGCGTGCCAAGTTCTGAGTGCAGGGTGCTGCTATGTCCCCTTCCGGATGATATTTTTACAGCACCGCATCCTTAAAAATTATTGTTTTCCCCATAAGAGCTGAGCGATCTTCAGTCATGATCACAAATTCCCTTAATTACAGAAGAGGTGATGAAACCATCGTAGACTTCTATCTGAGAAGTTTGAGAAGTCCAGCCAGAATTGACAAGAATAACAGAAATATCATTACGCTGCTAAATATTTAGTGAGATATTTGGTCCAATACGATTATCCAATTAGTATCAGGGAAGCACTAATTCAGTTAAACTCACAGTCACAAGCATTTAACATTCTGTCGTGCAGCTTTCAAAATTATGCTTTATCTATTTCTTATTGAAAGAAATAAGCTTAAAAATCCTGGAAATAAGCACATCAGGTAAAGAGAAGAGCGGGACAGATGCCGTGCCAAGCTCTGGCATTCTACAGTGCTCCCACAGGGGAAATTTTGTTTTGTGCAACTGTTCCAAACTTGGTGCCCAATACTGAACACAATGATTTTTCCCAAGCAGTTGTGGGTTTCTCCCAGAGAAGTGCCCACGGACCCCACACACCCATAACCCCAGCCATGGGGAACAGGCAGTGCTCCCACTTCCAGCAGCCAGAGATGGGCAAGTGTTGAGCACGTCATTGTTCTCATCACCTGTTACGGTCCCCAGAAACAAACCGTGAACGTTCTCCAGACCCCATCTGATGTTAGAAAGCATCATGAGAATTTTTCCACTGCTGTTACGGAGGCAGAGCCCTCAGAAGCAGCCCCCTGACAACGCGAGCACTGCCAAGCCTGTCAGCAACCCCGGTGCCTAGCAGGGGCTGTAAGCATAGCACCACGATTTTTTGTTCTTTCTTTCTTTCCAAATTAAAAAAAAAAAAAAAAAAAAAAAACAAAACCAAAAAAAAAAAATGCACTGGAAACTTTTGGGACAGAGCAGGAGAGCTGGGAGCTGGGAAGTTGCTCCCTGTTCAGTGCCTGGCAATGGAGGGGGCTCTGCAGGCGCGCCCCAGCACCCGGCCACATTTAGCTTTCAGCCTTTTTATTATCACTGTCAATGAATGGGCCCCAGTCAAATTAAAGCTGCCATTTTAGGTTAAAGACTGGAGAGCCTCTGTTGTGCAACAGCAAGACAAAAACACTCCGAGCGACAGATGCGGCATTCTCATTGGGAAAAGACGGATTTCAACTTTCATTAAAAAAAATAAAAATAAAAATAATAATTATGGATCATGCTTTTAGTATGAATTATATATTGATACTCACACATTACCGCAAACTAACGGGATTTATAATTGGGGGAAATCAGCTCCCCGTGCTGCTAAGGTCATAGTCATTAAGATTTTTTTGCCGTCGTTAGAATGGATGATCTGTGAGGAAATGAACAGAAACATGTTTTGTTCAACTTGTTTGTGCCTCGCCAGTCCCGTATAGCACGAGAGAGAAAAAAATAAAGGGGGGGGGGTTGGGGGAGGGAAAGGGGGGAGGCGAACACATTCTCCCGAAAGCCATCTTCTGTATAAACACAGCCCCGCCGCCACGGGAGCAACAAAAACCGGGGCGCACATCGGCACGGAAACAAAGTTACCGCGCTGAGGTTACGCCGATATTCCCCGAGCCGGGAACCCGCGGAAGGGCGAGCGGCCGCGGCTGGAAAATGGCCCTTTTCGGGAGACGGAGGGCACGCTCGGCTCTTTCCCAAACGAAAACAAAGGCGGAAAGTGGGCAAGTGTGGGGCGAGTTGCGCGGCGCATCCAGCGGCCCCGCGGCGGTGCCGAGGGAACTCCCCGGGCGCTGCTACTTTTCTTTTGTCCATTGTCTGTTTAAAAAAAAACTCCTTCGGACCGGGGGCGAGAGTGACCGAGCCGGGAAGGAAAAAAAATAAATAACAACAACAATAAAAAATAAACAAAGGGAAAAAAAATAAAATAAAAAAATAAGAGGAGGGGGGAAAAGGTCGGGGGGAGGGGGAGAGAGTCCCAGCGTGGGAGCGCGTCCACTTCCCTTAGGCTACCGGGCCGCACGCCCGCGGTGGAATGATGGCTGCTCGCTGCCTGCACGGACGGACACACGGACGGACGCGCGCCCCGTCCGCTTCCCACTTCCAGGCGCACGCAGCCGCTCCGCCGCCGCCTCAGAACGGCCGTGCGGCGGCTCCCGGCGGGGCGGCGGCAGTGCCGCTGCGTGCGCTCTCCCCGCGCTCCCCACCGCCCCCGTTCCCCGACCCCACAGCGCG